AACAGCCGCGGCTCTCTTGGCCTCTCCTCACATGAGAGATGCTTCCAGTCCCTTAATCGTCCACGTGGCCTTCGCTGGACTCGCCCTCAGCAGGTCCATGAGGAGCCCGGACCCAGCACCCCAGATGTGGCCCACCTAAGGCTGAGCAGAGGGGGAGGACCACCTCCCTCGCCCTGCTGGCCACACTCTTCCTAACACAGCCCTGGATGCTGTTGGCCCATGGTCAACCTGGTGCCACCACGACCTACAGGTCCTTCTCCGCAGAGCTGCTCTCCAGCTGGTCGGCCCCCAGCCTGTCCTGGCGGCTGGGCTTATTCCTCCCCCGGAGCAGGACTGTGCATTTCCCTTTGCTGAACTTCATGAGGTTCCTCTCCGCCCATCTCTCCAGCCTGTCGAGGTCCCTCTGGGGTGTCAGTCAGCCACTTCTCCCAGGTTTGTGTCATCCATGAACTTACAGAGGGTGCGCTCTGTCCCATCATCCAGGTCACTAATGAAGATGCTAAATAGTATCAGCCCCAGGGATGCACCGCTCGTGGCTGGCCTCCCGCTGGACTTTGTGCCACCGATCACAACCCTCTGAGCCCGGCAGCTCAGCCAGGTCTCAATCCACCTCAGCGTCCGTTTGTTTAGTCCGTGCTTCAGTGTGTCTTACGGGACGGCGCCGAAAGCCTCACCACCATTGAGATAAACAGCGTCCACTGCTCTCCTCTCTGCCGCCAAGCCCATCATCTCATCGTAGAAGGCCATCAGGCACGACTTCCCCTTCCTAAAGCCGTGCTCCAACCACTCCTCCCTGCCTGCGCCTCTCCTACCCTGCCTACCTCTGCTTCTTCCTGCCCCACCAGGCTCACCTTGGCCTCTGCCAGCACAGCCACGGTCCGAAAGCAGCTGCTGCCCTTGCTTTTCCCCAAAGACATGTTCCTCACCGGTCCCCTCTGCCTCATTGCGGGGTTAACGCGGGAACACTGGACTCGGTCAAGCCCCTTTCTTGGTCACCCACACCTCATAGCTCTAAGGGAGCTCTAAGATGTCCCAGCCTCCTCAACCTGCAAACGGGCCTTGTTCTCATTCCAAAAATAGCCCTGCTCTACTAAAAATCCCTTTCAGCTCAGTGCTCCTCCTGCAGCCCCATCATCCCCTCCCCGCACACAGAAAGGACGCCATGTCACCTCCGCGTCCCCCAGCGTACAGGGTGGCTGACCCCACCACCACTGTTGAGCTATTCAGCCCTCCCTCCTGGAGCAGACAGCACCCACTCCCCAAGCGCGGGGCAGGACACACGCAGTGGGGCAGCACGATGGTCTCCTTGCAAAACCCGTAGCTCCAGACTCGGCCTGCGCCTGGCCCACCGGCGTAGCCTGCAGGGCTATGCCACGCACGTGGCTTATCTCATCGTGAAGCGCAGGGCTGGGCTCCAGCAAAAGAGGCTCTCCTGACCCCAAACGCGAGATTAAGCCGTGCCAGCTCCTCCACAGCTTCCGGGCTGAACTGGGGGAGCAGCTAGCCTTGCCACCTTGCCCATAGCAGAGGGGACGAAGCACAAGGGCCAAAGGCAGAGCAGAATCCCAACAATTTCCTTTATTTATAAAAACAAGCATTTATAAAGAGAGAAGAAAAGCCCTGGAGGTGCTCGCAGCACGCAGCAAAAGGCCGGCCTCCCGGCGCCGCCTAGCAGCGGGGCAGCTGCCGAGGATCAGGCGGCCGTCAGCTAAAAAGGTCTGTACGGAGCGAAGGGAGAACCAGGCTCTCAAGACACTGATTGGTGGCAAGGTTCACGGGGATGGACGACCTCCAGGTCTCGGATGCAGAGATGGACAGAAAGGTCCATAAAGAGCGGCTGTTACGTGCGTGCGTTTCGCTCTGTCTCCGCCAGGCACTCTCTCACCAGCGCCCGAGCGTGGATGATGCCTACGGGGAGAAGCACAGGGGAAACCGCGCGTCAGCCGAGTCCGTAACCGAAGGTCCCAGCTCTGCGTGTGTGTCCCCCCCCCAACCCCCCGACATGTTCAGAGCAAGGGGAGAAGGAGCCGGTGGGGTAAGCAGAGCTCAGTTGTACCCCTTCCCCTCCAAGCCTGTGCGGGACGGAGGTTCTCCCGCTGCTGTCACAGCGGAGACTAGCAGCAGAGCACGGCGTCCCGCATGGAGAAACCCGAGCTTTCAACCCGGGCCAAAACATCTCCTCTGTCCCCCCCACCGCCACCCCACTCGGGAGAAGGGAAGAAAGAGAACCGCAAGAATAACCAGCTGCCGCTCCAGCCTCCGACGCCAAGGGGGACGCGC